CTCAAAATTTTCTGTAGATTTAAAATATCCTCAGATAAAATCCCAGGAGGTTTGCATGTGGGTATAGAAATTGATAAGCTGGTTCTAAAATAAAATTTATAAAAGAAATGAAAAGTGCCAAATAGCAACGATAACTGTGAAGAACAAAGTTAGAGAATGGAATATCAACCTAATTATAAAATCACAGTAATTAAAACTGATTCCAGAATCTCTGGAATACAAACAGAATGGATTATCCAGAAACACTCTCAGCTATATAGTCATCTGATTTATGACAACAATGCCCATACAGTACAGTGGGAAAGAATGGTCCTTTCAATATATGGTACTGGGGGTGCGACCTTTATTCACTCCCCCAATACCATATAAAAAATTCAAATCTAGATGGATCATACACATACAGGTGAAAGATAGAGCAATAAAGCCTCTAGAAGAAAACAGGAGAATATCTTCAAGACCTTAGGGTAAGCAAAGATTTCTTCAATGGGACATAACAGATAAATTTGACTTCATTAAAATTAAAAAAAAAAAAAACCTTCTTCATTAAAAGTCAACATTAAAAGTTAAAATGTAAGCCATGGGAGAAGATACGTGTAATACATATATCTAACAAAGGACTTACCAAGAAAAACCCCTATAAATCAATACAAAAAAAAGGCAGACAAGCAGTGAGAAAACTGGGCAAAGATTTGAAAAGGCACTTCACAAGATAAGTGCCAAAAACACTCAAAAAAGGGGGTGCTTGACATCAATGGCCATTACAGAAATGCAAAATAAAATGACACCCCCAATATAATGGCTAAAACTTTTTAAACTGATAATACCCAAGTGTTAGTAAGAATGTGCAGAGACTATAACACCCAATTGCTACTGGAGGGAGTATAAATTATTCTAAGCATTTTGAGAAACGCTTTGGTAGTATCAACTAAAGCTGAATATCTCATATCCTATAAGCTAGTGATTCCAGTCCTGAGTATACAAGAAATGAGGACATGTTCACCTAAACCATATGACGACCAATGTCATAGTAACTTTGTTTATAATAGCCCTAAAATGAAAACAAATCAAATCTCCATTAACAGAGAATGAATACATATATGCTACATTCACACAATGGAATACTGTACAACCATAAAAAATAAACTACTACTACTACTACACCTAACAAGGTTGTGAATTTCAAAGATACAATGTTGCATAAAAGAAGCCTGTATTTTATTCATATAAAGTTCAAAGACAAGCAACAGTAATCTATGTTGAGAGAAGTCAGTACACTTACCCTTGAGATTTGGGTATTGACTAGGAGGGTGCAAGAGAGAATTTTCTAAGATGCTGGATGGTGGATCATGTATGTATATACACATATATTTGTAAAAATTTATTGAGTGGCACACTTAAGTTTATGCATTTTACTATGTGTATGTTATACTCAATAAGAATAAATTAAGAAAAATAAACTGATATAAAGAAATAAAGTCAGATACAAGAATTTCTAGATCATTTAGTAAACTAGAGTTACTAAGAGAAATACTGAATTTTTGTGCCTGGAGTTCTTTTTGTAAAATAGAACAAATATTCTCTTATCTAGGATGCTGAAAACAATCTTGCAAAGTGGAATAAAAAGTATCTCAGTCCCCTATTCCCATAAGAGACCTGGAGTAAAAAGATGTTGAAAATCTACAATTTCTTTTGCTTTGAACCATGAACTTTAGCAAAATTTACAGAATAAAGGAGCCTAATGATTAGGTTCTAATTTTGCCACTCACAATTCCCTTTTCTCCTGTGTGAATGTTTAGCTAGTTGCCATCCATGTGGGTTAGGGATAGTGAGCTATTTGGCTCTGTCTATTTTAGGGCATATCTAACAGTCTTCCACCTTTCAAACTCTTTGCTCTTTTATTCTGGAATTTTCCACAGACTTGCTAGCTATAATCACACTAAATAGCATTGCATCTGGATTCTCTGTTCAAACACAGTGAATCAACATGGATCCTGGGCACCCAACACTGAACACGGACGCAATTCAGGGACTTGTCAGCACACATGCACACACGTTCATTTACTGCTCAGCCTTGATTCCAGAAGAATTTCAGCTAGCCTACAAAGAAGCATAAAATTGACAAGAGAGCAGAAATTAAGAAATGTTTAAGGTGGGTTTTATCATTTTGTCTACCTGAAGATATACAGCAATAATGATACTGCTCACCTTGTAGTTCAGGGACATTATCTCCTTGATATAGGAAAACAATCCAATAATATACAGAAGCCTTTCTCTGCTATGAACTTACTGCCCACTCATCATCTTTATGAGTCAATGGGTCAATCTTACTGTGATAACATTTGATTAATCCAATGTGACAGGATCACTCACAAAGAAGCATCCAAGTATCTCAGATCACTTCCAAAGACCCCCAGGTTTTTCAAGACCCTCAGAGCCTCCAAGCTGTACACAGAAATAAATGCCTGATCTGCAAGTTATAACCATAGCAAACACTGAGCAAAATCCTAACCAAAGGCTACTTAGGAGAAGAACCTTAATTAATCTTAGATTTATAACCTAACAGCAAGACCCACTTAGCACAAATGA